CAGCAGTGCCCGCTTCCGCAGAAGCCACATTCTCTCTTCAGATACCACAGCAGTGCCCGCTTCCGCAGAAGCCACATTCTCTCTTCAGATGCCACAGCGGTACCCAGGAACCAAAGTTTCTTTTCAGATATCACCGAAGTGCCCGCTCCTGCAGGAGCCTGTATCTCTACTTCCCACTCATCTCTACTTCCCATTGCCTCAGTAGTGCCCGCTCCCGCAGAAGCCACATTCTCTTTTCAGAAGCCGCATGAGTACCCGCTTCCGCAGAAGCCTCCTTCTCTTTTCAGATACCGCAGCAGTACTCGCTCCCGCAGGAGCCCGTATCTTTACTTCCTACTGCCGCAGCAGTGCTTGCTTCCGCAGAAGCCTATATCTTTACTTCCAACTGCAGCCACATTCTCTTTTCAGATGCCCAGCAGTGCCGGCTTCCGCAGAAGCCACATTCTACCCCACTCTGGCTGCTGTCCCGCGCTAATTGCATCTTTTGGAGGGAGCGCTCTCTTCACGGACAGGGGGAGTACCCCGGGTTTGGGAGGAATTAACGAGCTCGGAGCCCTCTCCCCGGACAGCACGCCAAATACGCATACCATTCATCCCGCTTTATTATCTGTAAGGCGAACTCATGAAATGAGTAATTGAGAATATTAACACTCTGAAAATAAAGGTTATTTATTGGCATCAATGGTTCCGTGAAGAAACTTTATCATCCATGTAGCCATTCCATTGCACAAAACATTCTTTATAATGGAAAAAATAAAAAAGTTATTTAGATTGTTAAAATGTTCTGCTCAGTAAGAAATAAATGGTTCTTTCAAGAACTGTTCTCAGAAAGGTTATTTGGGGAAGCAAAAATGGTTCTTCTATGGCATCTTTATGAAAAGGTTCTTTTGGAACCGTTATTTTTAAGAGTGTAGAACCTTTTCACTGCACTAAAGGTTCTTAATAGTGGAAGAACGAGCTCGGAGCCCTCTCCCCGGACAGCACGCCAAATACGCATACCATTCATCCCGCTTTATTATCTGTAAGGCGAACTCATGAAATGAGTAATTGAGAATATTAACACTCTGAAAATAAAGGTTATTTATTGGCATCAATGGTTCCGTGAAGAAACTTTATCATCCATGTAGCCATTCCATTGCACAAAACATTCTTTATAATGGAAAAAATAAAAAAGTTATTTAGATTGTTAAAATGTTCTGCTCAGTAAGAAATAAATGGTTCTTTCAAGAACTGTTCTCAGAAAGGTTATTTGGGGAAGCAAAAATGGTTCTTCTATGGCATCTTTATGAAAAGGTTCTTTTGGAACCGTTATTTTTAAGAGTGTAGAACCTTTTCACTGCACTAAAGGTTCTTAATAGTGGAAGAAGGTTCTTTGGAGTATTAGATAATGTCCTTCCAACTAAGAGAAAATGGTTCTTTTAGGAACTGTTTACTGAAAGGTTCTTTGAGAACCCCAAAATGGTGGTTCTATGGAACCTTTATTTTTTATAAGATTTTACCATGTGACATGTGGATACCATAGGAAATGAATATGGTAATCAGTTAGTACCATAGTATTGCCATTTGACACCATGATAGCACCACAGTCCGAGGAACTTGGCAGAATCGCAGTCACCTGCTTTGTGCACAAGGACTTTGTCATGCTGAAACTGAAAAAGCATCATCCAAAGCTGTTGAACAATCTCCAGACTGTTACTGTATGGAGTTATTTGACTAGCCAAACACATTTATTGTAAAGAGGTGTCCACATACTTTTGATCATGAAGTCTATCTGCCTGCTGAAAAAAACAACAACTTGGACCAGCTTAAAGACTTGTTTTTAGATTGCCATTAGTGGTGTGTTACTCTGACAGAAGCTGATTAAGAGGGTTGTTGTTGCCGATAGACCAGCTAACCGAGTGGCTGAGCTAAAACCAGCATGAAACTGTCAAAACATACCTTATTTGTAACCAGCAATGGTACACTCTAGTCATTTAGTCTGGTCTTGGCTGTTATTTAGCAGGTCTGAATCTCACAAAAACAAAAACCATGGCTGTATTCACATTTACACTGCACTTTATAGGATATGATTCATTCACGTTGGTAGTTTAGATGAATTTCAAGTGTCACTGACTCAGATTTGTTGGTTTGTTTTTCAGTGACCTGAAAGAGAAATGTCTAAGCTATATGCTGCTAACTGATTACTGAAAACCATTTAAAATAAGATTAAAGCATAAGTTCGTAAGAAGGCGTCTCTGTCATTTTTGCAACTGAGGGAAACTAAGAATGCATCCAAGAGATTATTTATGTTGGCAACATATCAGAATAAGTTGTTGTTTATCACCGTCTATAGCAATTTAGTGTCTCCTGAGGATATGTGAAGTTTCTGTCTCTTGCAAGTTTCTGATCAGGTATTGAATTTGGAAATTACTGACGCAGTAGTTTCTGAATATAGTTTCTAAACAATTATGATTGTATTGCTGCTGTTAAGACTCATATGCAATCAAGTAAATCAGTCATCGAAGTTGAGTAAAATGAGGGTGTGTTTGAGTACGCGTCATCACATTTTTTTTGACGAACTCTGGCCATGTGATGGAAATTACAGATAAATTAAACTGAAGCCGTTTTGTTTGCTCAGATACTGCTGCTTTTGTTGTGTGTGTGTGTGTGTGTGTGTGTGTATCACCAGGGTTCTTGTAGGTAGGTAGATTTGAAAACACATTTAAAAGTGCTCACAATTATGACATTCCTGGGTCCTAAAGTCAGAGGCAGGACAAGGGGACAAGCAGCCATGATGTAAACCTGATTTGTTTGTCCAAACTTTACTTTACTTAAAATGGCACTGAAAGGGAGTGGTCAGGTGCTAGAATAAATATTTACATTCCATATACACATAATGTCCAGCCTCAAGGTACAATTAAAGCAGTTTCATTCACCTGATTTGTTTAATAGTTTGTGTACCATTCCAGTCTGTAGTCACCTCGGGCATGTTTGAGTTTCATGTGCATTAAGCCTTATTTGTTTTCAGAAACAATGCCCAGCATAGATCTAAATATTTCAGGAAAAATGTAAGCTTGTGCAATGGGGAAAACATGACTAATTTGTTCAGTCATGGTTTTAAAAAAAAATGCATGTTGCATGCAA